CTACTCTTTGTTACCCTAAACCTTCTACTTTCAGCTGAGTAATTTAAGGCATGGGTTTGAGCAGGTTCATTTTATTACAGCCATTATTAATAAAATGAATGTCAGAAATCCTTGCATTGCAAATCATCAGAAATTAAGCAATGGATCTAGATCTATCTTAAGCCTACCTGCACACAAAAAATACATTCATAAACTACTAGTCTGGCTGGTGGCAGTCATTTTCAAAGACATCACCTTACCTTATCTCCAAGGTGGATTCTGGTAAATGTACATGTTTTTAGATGTACATTTTTTGTTCTGATTTTTGGTTCAAGAACTTCCTTAAATGTCTTTTCTATAATTGCTCCAAAATATGGCCAGATCTGTTCAACAACCTATTCATGAAATAACAAAAGCCTAAAGTCATGACATGTTTATTACTGTAGTTTGCCATTATTATTTTAAAGACAGAATGCTAACTTTGCTTATGTAAATGTCTTTAAGTTTCTAAAGTGGCAGACAATACACTCATTGCAAAGAAACCGTAAAAATAAATGCAAAGTAAAAGATATGTACAGTTACTTGTTCAAATAGCTGATAATCTCCAGCAGCAAAAATGAACACTTGAGTGTTTTTTTACATAAAAAAACTAGCAGGCAAAGCAGATATCAAGACCTGGCAATAGCTAAGAGCAGGAAAGTTGAAGAGACAGAGGGGCTAATTCTGACTGCACAAGACCAAGCTTTAAGAACAAATGCATACAAAGCCAGAACTGAGAAGACAGCGACAGACAGCAAATGCCGCCTCTGCAAAGAAGCTGAAGAAACAGTGGACCACCTAGTCAGTTGCTGCAAGAAGATCACACAGACTGACTACAAACAACAGCATGACAAAATAATAACAATGGTGCACTGGAATATCTGTAAGAAATACTACTTGCCTGCAAGCAAGAACTGGTGGGATCACAAAATAGACAAAGTAATAGAAAATGAAGAAGCTAAAGCACTCTGGGACTTTAGAATTCAAACAGACAAGCATTTGCCACACAACACCCCAGACTTAACAGTTGTTGATAAGAAAAACAAAAAAGTCTGGATGGTGGACATTGCAATACCTGGAGACACAGAATAGAAGAGAAAGAACTGGAGAAAATCACAAAATATAAAGACCTGCACAAAGAAATAGAATGACTGTGGCAAAAGGAAGCAAAGATAGTACCGATAGTAATAGGTGCCTTGGGTGCAATTCCAAAACATCTGGAGCACCACTTGAAGGCCATCAGTACTGACAAAATCATCATCAGTCAATTGCAAAAGGCAGCTTTACTTGGAACAACTTACACCCTATGACAATACTTTTAATATTATTAAACAACAACATTTGCCTACCCCAGGTTCTTGGGAAGGACTCGACAGGTGGACAAAAATGCCAAATCCAGTGTAAACATCTGGCTGACTATGCAACAACCATAATAATACTAATCCCTTCCAAACTACAGGACAAGATTAGAAGATTCAGAAAAACTATTTTCAAGCTTGAAACAAACATTTGACAATATTGCTTTAATTTAAGCTGCGAATGAGATTCCTTCATGATTCCCCTGGGCTGCATAACATTTCCCAAAGTACTGAATGTTTTTCATCCCAGGCATGGCCTCTTGCTCCATTCTTGCTTCTGCTATGAACTTCTGAGATAACATTAGACACAGTAGTTCAATATTTCACTTTTCCTCAGAATCTAATATGCAAATCTTGCCACTAGGAAAGGGGGACATTTCATTCCATGTGTCACACAGGACCAAAGTCTGGTGCTGATGACAACTCTTCCAGTCAGTTTACTGCAATTCAACTAACACGGAAGATATTGTAGATTTGGGCTGGCAAGGATGAGTAAGACTATTACAGGATAGTTGTCAGTTGTATGAAGATCTGCCTCAGAGGTTTCAGTGCTAAGCACTTAGTAACAAAGGGAAAAAAAAAAAATTACTGCACAATTTGTTTTGGACGAGTCTTGGCAAAGGCAGATGGCAATACTTTTTCTTCAGCAGAGAAGAACTTTGATCAAACAAACTTCAGGGCAAACCCTGAACATCATACAAATCATACCCAACTTACCCCAGCCACTTAACTAGAGCAAATACATTTATTCATGGGTGATTCAACAGCCAGGTTACAAAGCAAACTTTGAAACAGGAACATTTCAGCGTTATGCTTATTAGATAACAGCTCCTTCCATATCCTGTGCCTTACCTTGTTCAGCCACTCTACCCGTTCAACATCAGGGAAGTGCACCTGGAAAGCAAGTGCAAAAGACACAGATGAAAACTGATTTCACTATGGGAATTAATAAGCAGGATGCAAGTAAAATGACAGGCCTAACAAGAGACCACTATAAGTCTGATACATAGGATGATTCTGTAGTGATATCAAATGTGCACCTCAATAATGGGTCTGTCCTACAGAATATACTTCATTTGCGGGTTTATACACATGAAGAGGCAATTACACAGAAGCAAAGAGAAAGCTCCTTATTGAAAACGGAAGACAAGATTAATTCAACTCAGAGAAATAGCTGTAGCTTTGTCGTACAGGGCATATTTTATATACGGGCGCATGAATTTATATATTTTCTCTTTATTATTCTGATGTTGGTGGGGCTGCTTTTTATGTGGAACTTGATTATTAGCTACCCAGAGCCTCCAGGAATGGGCAACATACAAATAAATAAAGTAAATAAGTAAAGGTGCAAAAAGTCTAGCCTCTGGAATTTCCAGTTAAAAGACGATCAAACAGTATTTCTGAAAAAGCTTGGGTCGGACAGCTTCTTCTTCTGAGAACAGACAATATTGGATCAAGTCAACCAACTGTCCAAGAATCAGTAACATGATGATGGCATCTATGGCAGTCCACCATTATACCTAACATGCAATCCAAGTTCTCATGCAAGATTTCAGGGCAGAGATCACCGAAACATTGACATTTCATTTAGCTTTAATTGTTGTCACCCCCGCTAATGGAAATAAATCTTAACTGTCAGCCTTATATCACAAGACAAAAACTCTTCATAGTAAAGCCAGATTTATTATACGGATGAAATTTGCTCATCTCCTCAACTTATTAAAGTCCGCTATAATAAAGCCCTATATTATATCTTATATTAATATCTTATGATAATGCTAGTAGGTAAATAGCTTTTCCCTAAAGACTGTGATCAAATATAATATTTTATTATATATATTGATATTATTTATTATTTTAAATTGATATATGATGATATGATATGATATATGATATGATATGATATGATATGATATGATATCAGGCTAGAAACCAGGAGACTGTGAGTTCTAGTCCTGCCTAAGGCATGAAAGGTTAGGCTGGGTGACTTTGGGCCAGTCACTTTCTCTCAGCCCAACTCACTTCACTGGGTTGTTGTTGTGGGGAAAATAGGAGGAGAAAGGAGTATAAGATATGTTCACCACCTTGAGTTATTTATAAAATTAATAAAAGT